TCCAGGCAGCTCATGGTCAAAAGACCCAAACTCCCCGTTGGCTTTCAGGGAAAGGTTTTGAAGACAAGGTGAGAGAGAGGGTTGCAGGGTGATCAGCTCATGGACACTCTTCTGATTGGTTGGTGGTGAGGTAATTGGGCATCAACATCGTGAACCCTCTGGTCCCAGCCAGTCTGAGGTCTGTGTGATTGTGGGCGGCATCTAGTTAATTTTCTCCATTTGTGGGGGGTTTCCATATCTGCAAAGCAGCTCAAAGAACTGGCTCAGAGTAGTGTCTGTAGCCCTTGAGGAGAAGCTAAAGGTCCTTGACTTTGTTTAATGGTTAAACTATTATTATTTTGTCTTACTTGACTGTTTTCCTTTGTTTCTGCATTTTCTCACTTCTCTGATTACGTTTATTCTTTGGAACTCAGGGAAGACCTAGGAAGCTAAAGTTTTCCACGAACAAGAGGCAGGTGGAGGACATGCCGGGGTGGTGGAAGGGAGTCTGTCCCAGGACGGCCCCATAGGGCCCTGCTTGGTTACAAGCTACTCCGTTTCATGCCTGTAGTGCAAGTATAGAATTGAGTCAGAAGAGAATAACTTAATCATAAAATATCCTATGAGATCTTAAAACCTCATGGGACTGCATTCTATTTAAAACACATCCATGTATAATAATAATCCCACTTCTTACTGACCTTCCCCCTGCATTTTTAAGCAGACTTTTAACTTGAGGAAGACGCCTTGTGATGCTTTTGCAATTTTCTTCCTCCACCCATCCCTCTGCAGGAGACTTGTGACTGAGCTGAGAGGCCCAGAGGGGTCAGGATGGAGTGTGTGTCCCTTGGCCAATTCCCGGCTTGGAAACCTTAAACAAGCTTCAGTTCCCTTATAGCTTAAATGGGCAGTGATAGCTCTGCTTTTCAGGATCCACATGACCATTAACCGGGACGTGCTTCTAAAATATCCAGTGGAGTATTTGACGCATTCTCAGTTCTCACCACCTTTCCCTTTGAGTGGAATTAGTCAGACAGCATTAATGCATCTATAATTTTTAACCTGCTACAGCCTGTTTGTTACAGTCTCTACTCCATGGTGGAAACAACATCTGAAGCATTCCCTTGATGTGTCAATCTTTTGAAAACAAACCAGCAACGATTCTTGGTTCCACAAATGCTAAGTCTCTGATGTTTCTGGCTCTGGACATGGAGAGATTATCTATACGTGGCCAAACGTTACTGTTCCGAGTTATGTATGAGTTAAAAGGAGATGATAAAGAAAAAAACAGATTGTTTGAGCTATAAGTGTATGATTTTGAGACATAAAAGATAATATAAAAGACATTGAATATTGAGCTCTAAGATTTGAATACCGGGAATTGTGGAACCATTAATTAATAGGTGACGTAGTTGGAAACTGTCAGATGAAACACTCGTACAGATTCACCTCGGTGGGTTTCGACCACTTTGTTGAGGTTGGGGGGGAAACATCAGCGGAGCATGGCTAGTCTACAGGGATGTCTATAAACCATGGCCCACAGTCATTCTCACCAATTTTCAAATGTTAAAAACGTGGGAATGCACATGTGACCGTAAACCTTCGAGTGATTCACAATGGGAAAAAATAATCAAAAAGTGAGAGCTATGAACTTTTTCTTCTATCTATTTACTCCTTTTATCTCAGAACAGACAAGCGTATTTTATAGTTTAAACAATTCTACATTGTTAATAGCATGTGTTATAATTTCTCAAAATGTTCCTTATTTCATTGGGCTTAGTTATTTATCTGTAAGAGATTCGTTAATGACAGAGCACATTGACTAAAGCTCCCCACATATGCAAGATATATTTTTTCCAGGAAGTGCTCTAATTCTGCACGCACATTGCACCTTGAATACAGAAAGCACATCACACACAGTACCTTAGCTAATTATCATAAAATCATCATGAACTAGAGATGGAGAATTATTTTACTTCACTTTTAATCTGTTTTTACTCCATTTTATAGATACTAAGATAAAAGTTTAAAATGTCATCAGAAAGGGTCAAATAGAACTCAACTCTGTCTCAGATTCTTGGTTGTAATATTTTACTAGGCATATTTTTCTAGGATTACTTTGTCCTGTGTGTGGTTTCACTACTAGGTGATTTATTTCAAAGGGAAAACAAGCACTTTTCATCTCCAGAAAGTAAACTTTTAGTTTTTTCTGGTACTAATTTTCCCACTTTAAGATACAGTTTTGCTGATAAGTAAGACCTATATTTCTAGTGAAATCAGCCTACACATTATTGAATAGTGGGAGAAATGTAAAATTGGCATAGAAGACATTGAGGTCTATTTTTCTGGATCATCCTCATACCAGCAAGTTTTCTGATTACAGAGGAAAATACAATGACTCTTAAAGCATCATTCCTGCCATCAGGCCAACTGCCCTCTGAAATCCCCTATTTTGACTGGGTTTCTCCTGAGCCCTTACAGACTTAATAGCCCTGTCTAAATTGCCCAGATTAACTTCACATGGCTCCTTCTGCCCAGAATTTTACTGTTACACTCACACTGCTTGACGGAGCAGGTCAGAGCTGCTGTAAATTCCCACCATATGCTGAGGTTTAAAGAAATATTTGAGTTCCCCATAGGTGGAGCTTGTTAATTGATGAACTTTAAGAATGTGAAAAGGAACCATGGTATTTTGCATATTTGACTTTGTAATGTTACCAGGAGCTAATTATTCTTTGCAAGATGTCAAGTGGCCACTCTGAATGGAATTCTAACCTATGTTGTGATCAAGTGGGAAAGAAAAGATGACACCAGGAAGATGGATGGAAAACTGCTGTGAGAACAAGAAAAACTGTATCATTAGAAGAACTGCTTGTCATTAAGACTTTTTAGTCACTAGAATTTTGTGAATTTTAGGCAAGATGGCTCTGACCATCCTAACCCAACCCCTTGCTAATGTGGTTGCCCTTGACCTTTACCTTTTGTTCCATGGCCCCAAACCCCAGCTCACTCATCCTCTGGGGAAAGAGAAAGCCCCCAGGAGCTGGTCCTCAGCTCCCCCTTGGTCCTCGGCTGCATCAGCTAAACCTCCTGTGTCCCCCTGCTTGGCAGTGATGTCCCTTCTCCACAGCCAGTGTCCTAGATTCTCATGACCTTCCTCAAGGCCACTTTGCCTCATCATCTAAACCTCAACTACTTGCTCTCCTCAAAAACTGAAGCCACAAGCAGTGGTTCCTCCACTCCCTGAAATGCTTCTGGCCATTGGACCATATTAGTCACCTGACCCAAATGTGGGGAAGGCAGTGTCCCTCCACTGTGCTCCGAGTCCAAGCCCTCTTCCTTCCTCTGCAACTGCCTTCTCCCTTTCTTTTAAAGTTTTTCCCAGTCTTCATGTGCTTCTGCCTCAGCTTATAAGCTCCTGAAGTCTCTCGCGGTCACCACCTATTCCACGGGGCTGTTTCATTTAGACCCCTCCCAGCCAAGGTCAAGGACAAAGAAGTCCTCCCAGACCCCACATCCACACCGACGGAGTGTGCTTCTAGCCCACACCATCCTGTCCCTCGCTCCTATGGTCTCCTTGCTGTTAATTCTTTCTTCATCCCTAAAATGTTAGCGTCTCCTTTCTGGGGAGCTCATCCACTTCCATGGTTTAGTCATCTGCATGTTGATGACTTCCAGACCTTATTTTCTAGTCTTTTCTGAATTTCAGATCCTTATAGCCAATTATTTCTTGGAACACCGCTTGAACTTTAGCAAGCTGTTCAAAGTGAACATAACTATGGTAAAATACAACCTTTCTCAAAAACACACTCCTGCTCCTGGGACGCCTCTCCGGATGAATGAGGCCCCCCCCATACCCCCCGCTTCCCCAGACGGAATCTTGCAAAGCGCCCTTGACGCCTCTCTTTTCTTCTCCCCTGTGGCCAGCCAGGCCCCTCCTCCCGGCCGTCTACCTCTCCATCTCCTCTGCCTCTCTTCCCTGCCGGTCTCTCACTGGGTCCACTGGCTTCTTTCGTTGCCTCACCTCCTTCCAGGGAATCTCACTGGGCTACGAGAATATTCTTTCTGAAACTCCAATCTGCTCATACCTGTTCTTTGTTTCAAGAACTTCGGGACAGCCCATTCCTTCCAAGACATCATGGAAACTCTTCTGCAAGATACACACAACTCTGGCTACTTGTCCGACCTCATCACCCACGGCCCCTCTCACTAGAGGCTCGGATTTGGCTGACCTACGCGAGTCCTCCACGTACATCACGCGTGCTCCAGCCTCTGTGCCTTTGTAGGTGTTGCTAATTATTCCAGGGACACCCCTGAGTCTTGGATTTGCTTGGGAAAACCTTACTCAGGTGTCCCTCTTGGAACCGAAGCCTCCTCCCCGCCCCTAGCTTTCCTCCTTGTCCCCTTCCTACACTCTCAAAATCAGGCCAAGTTCATGGCTGTTATCCTGCTTCCACGCCGCGTCACAGCTGTGTCTTTTCTTGCCTCTGTCCACGGATACACTGTCTTTGCTCTTGAGACTCCACGGATGACTTCCCGATCCTTCTATCCTCAGCTGCTAGTATTGTGTATTTGGTAGGTGACTCCTTTGCGTTTATTGAATGAAAGGAATAAATCAATGCATTCATCAACCATTTCGTAATTAAAAGATATTGACAAAAAGAAAGAATAAGTGGCTCTAAATTAAAAATCCTGACTACAAATATTAATTACAAAGCATACAGTAGAACCTGCCGAATTTCTATATGAAATACACAAAACACTTGTGGCCTTCTCTGGGAAAGGGTGCAGCTCAAGGGAGAACTAAGGAAGACAGTGTGAATACGTTCTGGTACAGCAAGAACTTTTCTTCCTTCTGGAAACATCATGTGCTATTATGGACCAAAGCCTTATAAACACAGGGGGACACAATGTCCAGGTGATTTCCATTATCCTGGAGACCAAATATGGCTGAAGTGACTTAACCACTGGGGTTTGACCGCGCACCCAGCCATAAAGCTATGTGCTTTTCCCCCTCACAGGTATTTGAGCAAGACCCTTCGACAACAAGTATCAACAGCAGAGCATTCTCTGAACAGGGAGAAATTCGCTGTTTGGAAACAAGCCCTGAATGTAATTGGCTTCAGTAACTTGGTGAGTCATGCCATAAATATTACACTGAGAAAATCAACCCTCTACTAATTTATAAAAGTCATTCATTCAAAACACTTCTGTGCTCCTGGAGTTTGCATGCTAGGGGGGGGGATAGACATAAACAAGGGTACGCTCAGGGCACAGGTGGCCTGGAGACAGGCAGAGGATGGGCTGCCGTCTTCAAGGAGGTGGTGGAGACCTTTGCCCATTGGAACCATGTGAGCAAAACACATCAGAGAACTTTGCTTTGACTCAAGAGGAGACTGGCAGATCGTGGTGACTGTTTACCGCCAGGAATCACTTTGACAAGTAATCTAATCACCTTATTAAACTATCTTCTTCAACGACATGATTTAGTTTTTTCATTCTTAAAGAATTACCAAATACCTGCCAGCCTTACAAAGCTGAAAAGTAGGGCTTCCCCGGTGGCGCAGTGGTTGAGAGTCCGCCTGTCGCTGCAGGGGACGCGGGTTCGTGCCCCGGTCCGGGAAGATCCCACGTGCCGCGGAGCGGCTGGGCCCGTGAGCCATGGCCGCTGAGCCTTCGCGTCCTGCTCCGCAACAGGAGAGGCCACAGCAGTGAGAGGCCCGTGTACCGCAAAAAAAAAAAAAAAAAAAAAAAAAAAAAAAAGATGAATTTCCCATAAATTTCTAGCTTGTAAAAGAGATGTATGGGATTTTCTCCAAAATCAAACTCCTCATAACATTATAGCAACTCTCACTTGGAAATAAACTTTAAATTTAAAATTTTTTATTAGAATATAATTTTTAGCATGCAACTTTTTAGGCTACATATATTCTGAAAGGGCAATATTCACTGGAATACTTTTTTTTCCAATGAACTATTTTCCAGATATTTCCCTTTTCTTATGCCAAATATTATTTTCATAGTCAACAGTTTACATAGAATGAGTAAGTAATCATCCAAAGGGCTTTGGGAAACTTAACATGTCTGAACCACCATTTCCTCATCTATAAAAAGGAGGTGAGAACAGAACTCATCTCATAGGTCTGTAACTGGGATTAAGTAAATTGACCAATGTAAAGCCAGTGCTGGAGACATTGTAGATGCCAAATAATGTTGGGTTTGTTATTTTTTCATGTGGCAGGAAATAAAAGAATAAGCAGTTAAAGAGCTTAATTAGTATCAGCCAAATTGGTTACATATCAACAGATTGTTTGATGAGTGCTTAATGTATGTTATTATATCTCATGCTCAAAGAGACCAATTAAGGTAGAAATGTAGTACCACTTGATGAGAAGCTGCTGAGATCCAGTGACGTTAAGCCCAAATCCCATAACTAGTGTGTGTCAGAGCCAGGGTATGAATTCCAGCTCCACAAGCATGTCAATTAGGATGCCTTCTGCATCAAGTAATAGAAAACCCAGATCAATAGGCTTACACTGTAAGGAGATATATTGGTACCTGTCACTGGAATTCTAGAGGTAGGTACAGTTATCTCTTGGTGATCTTGGTGATCGTCCTGGTATCAGTGCCATGACTGGTCAGGAAGTGTTGACTACAGGGGTTCAAGGCTTCCTATTTGGATATGACAACATGTAAAGGGAGAGAACATGCCTCTCCCAGCCTTTCAAGCAATATTCACTCAAATTAGGCCTATTGTTTCCTTGTCCCTCCTTGCACCATGACTGTAATCCAAGAAAATGAAATTTGTGGATGAGCTTAAGGCTTTGGGACCATAAGAAGAAATTCAGCTTCATAGACACAGACACAGACACACAAATACACACACACACACACACACATACACAAACACACACACACACACACACAGAAATAAGCAAACAAAAAATTAAAATCCCACTTACAGATCTAAGAGATGAGTTCTATTCTTACTTCCTTTTTATAGATGAGCAAACCACCTCTATAGTTCGTTCAGAGATGTTAATTTCCCAAAGCCCTTAGGATGGTTATTTACTAATTTTGTGTAAACTGTTGACTGTGAAAATAGTACTTGGTACAGATAATGGGAAATTTTCCCCTTTTCAAAAGGAGTTATTTTTTATTCTAAAATGGATTTTAAACAAACAAAAAGCAACAAAACCAGTTTACCAAATATTTAACCTTTGTCAGTCTTTGTGATAGGTTCTTGCATTAGAAAAGGAATACAGGAAGACAGGTCAGTGTTTAAAGGTGAATACAGTTTTTGAACCTCCTGGATCTTTTCTCATTGCTTATCTGGTGCATGAGTTTAGTGAAATGGCTTAAACTTTGAGCCTCTGTTTCTTCATCCATTAAATGGGTTTCTATTAGGACTGATTCAGACAATCAAAGCTGCTTAGCAAATGTACACTATTATCAAGGAGCAGAAGTAGAAAACAGAGATAAAGAGAGAAGGCTTTGGAATTTGCTGGGCTGAAATCAAGTCTAGACTCTATCACATACTGGCCACAGGAGCTTGTACATATTCCTAAACTTCTCAAAAAAAAAAAAAAAAAAAAAAAAAAAAAAAATTGAAAACAAAGCTGAAAAGTACTACTTAAAGGTTTTAAACCCACTGCTGTGCGGTGGAAATGTCTGTGATTCTGGAAATGCCCTAGGTCTGTGCCGTACAATATGGCAGCCACTGGCCACGTGGGACCGTGGAAATGGAGTTTTAATTTTTCTTAGTTCCAATTACTTTAAATTGAAACAGTCTTGTGTGGTTCGTGGTTCCTGAATTGAATGGCGCAGGTCTAGAGAATAAGAGATAGGAAATGACCTAAGCCTGAGACCTCTCAAATTCCCACCAATCTCTTTCCTTTACACATCCTCTCTGTGTCCCCTCATTCAATGTGGCATCAATTTGAATTACAGCCAATTCCTCGTTAGTGATCAGTGTAAGATCGCATAGGGGTAACTTTGGTATGCCCGTAGTTCAGGAGCCCCGTTTTAGTCACAGATCTAAATATGTGGGTTTTTTTTTTTTTTTTTTTTTTTTCCCTTAAACCAGTAAGTTGATTGATTTGGGTCTTTGTCTTTTCCCTTGTCCACATGGCTCATGGGGCAGGGAGTGGGTGGAAGGGGTGAGAAGGTGGCGAAAAGGAAAGGGTAAGGAGGTGGGGACTCAACCTAAATGAATTAGCTCGGGGCCTTCACCCCAGCCTCACCCATTCAGAGACTGGATGGAATTCTAGGAACGTGCAATCACATGGTACTTTGTTCTTTGTTGCTCTGCTCATCCAGTCTCTGAATTACTGTGTTTCCCTAACTCCTACCCGTTTGTACTTCTCGTTCTTTGCACTTGCTACTGTTGTACTCTTTTCTTATTGTTTTTCCCTTCCTAAGTATCTGAAATCTCTGCTTCCTTATGGGAAACTGGGGTATAGACATGGGTAAGGAACCATTCCACCAAAATATCAGTTGCTTGGAAACGGGGCTTTAAAAATCCATGATTGATCCTCAGAGGCAAGGCAAACAAAATATACCTTCTGCCTAAGGCAACGAGTAGGGAATTTAAGTTTTTTGGTGAAAGAACTATGTGCAGTTAAGCAAACGATGTGAAGGTAATCACTTCATCTTGATCCTTTGGGGTGACTTGGAACGGTGACAACTTGGTCCACATAGGAGGAAAAGATCATGTCCCATAAGATTGGGAGGAAGGTATTTCTGGGCTGGCAAGGCCCTTGTATCGAAACTTATGACTGTGGTCCTAGGAGATGTGACCATAAAGGTGCCTCCACCCTGTCTTCCATCGCCTCTGCCCCTGCCCACGGAGCAGCTTATCTCTTCCTACCTCTGTCGTGGCATCACCACATTGTAATCCGTGTTCGGGCTACTTTTCATAGCTCTGCCTGCTTCACTGAACTGGATGATACTTGAGGACACAGCGAAGTCTTGCTGTCTGTATCCAGAAGTACCTCTCTCCTAGGGCATTGGGACATTTAATGAGGAGTTACTGGATTTATTTTAAAAAAAAGGGAGAGAAGGAGGTGTCAAGTAGCTTAAGATGCTCGGAAAATATTATTCAGACAAGCACAAGTAAATTCAATTAGAGACGCTAGTTTGTGATTTGGAGGTTACCAAAAACATTTCTAAGTAATGCCACAAACATAGAGTATTATACCTGAAAATTACAGATTATCCTTTTCAAAGCTCTCATTTTTAGGTAATAAAACTACCTTGTCCTGAAAACTAAAAGTTCTGGAGGAAATTCATAGAAGTCCCAATGACCATATTGTGTCAACTGTGTATTTATAAAGCAAATGAGAATTGTTCTTAGAAAAACTTCCACAGACAGGAGCTTTTTCTTCCCAAATTACAAATGGGGAAACTGGGAATTTAAAAGGTTATGTCACTTGCCCTAAATGAGGCTTAACCACTTTTACGATTGATAGCATAACACTAAATAGTTGTGATTCTGGGAAAGTCCCTTTTAACGTACAGCTTTTCCTTGACTTTTTATCCTTACCCCCAAATGACCGTCCAAAACCAAATCTGAGGTCTAATTTCTTTCTTTATGCAGCATTCCAGGTTCTCGGATATTCTTTCAGCAAACGCTCTCATCCTTCCTGCTAACATCCTTTTTTTTTCTTGAGTTTTCCTTAAAATACCTTTAAAAATTAGCATTTTGTTTATTTCGCCATGGATGTTTTCATCAGACTTCCATTGATTTTCCAGCAGAAATGAAAACTTCTGTAAGCATAATAGCAGTTTATTTCAAAACAGAGAGAACTAAGAGATGGACTCTCATGCTCTCTGGGGAAGCAGCCACGTGACCCTGAAGTCGGCTTAGCCTCTGGTAACAGTTCTGCCAGCCCTGGTGGGGGCTGACCCTATAAGTCATGTCTAGCCAGTCAGACCATGGTTACACAACCATTCATGCTTCATCCTGATGCTTATCCAGAAACCATTCATTTATATCAGAACACGTCACGTCCTCATTGTCTCTCGTTTAAGGAACAGAAAAGTTGGCTGCAGAAGGAACACTGAGTTTCCCGATTTTGCTTTTGAGCTAGAGATTGGTTGTCCTCTAACGGGACATTCTGGGTCTGAAAAATCACAGCCCCCCATAGCACGCACATCATTTTTTAAACCTACTTGGAGGTTTTTCAAAGGATTGGTCTTTGAATCTTTCTTCTAAGCAGCACCACTCATCTCTATTTCTCAACCGTGTAGGAGGTGGAGAACGTGTGTCTGATTCTAGCGGCCACATTACACCTTGGAGACATTCGGTTCACTGCTCTGACCGAGGCCGACTCCGCCTTTGTGTCTGACCTCCAGCTTCTGGAACAAGGTCAGTGGGACAGATCTAACAGTAACCTCATCGATGTGCAGCTTTGCAGACTGGCCAGTGGATGGCGACACAGTACAGAAAAGTCAGGTGGAATCAACCCTTTTTTGCTGGAGTGGGATTCAGTGAGGGTGGCAGAGGGGAAAAAAAGAAATGTATCCTCTTTCTTCTTCTTTCTGCTTTCTGGTTATGTGAATGAATAAGATGTATGTTTGTGTCACAGTAACAGAGGTGATGCTTTGGCACATGATTGGGTTTATTTATATCGTCCTAAGTATTCTCCGCCCCTCCCCCTGCCATCCCGTATATTTGGGGAGCATGTTATTAGCTGAACATTTAAACAGAACACAGTTACTTGCCTTTAAAGATCTTGTCACAAACCTCTCTCTCCCTTGAAATTACCTTGTCAGTCACTCCCAGGTTTTTTCAAAACGCCTTAAAGCCACAGGTTGTCGTGACCAGCATTATCTTTGCCTCATATCAAAGTAATTTACCCAGGAATTGGGAAAAAGCATTCAGGGCCATTTGTGAGGGCAGGAGGGAAAGAATCCTGCAGTGATTTAATGCAGGAGCCCTGAGAACTCATTAACATTTCGATTCCTCTAAGCCACTGTTTCTCTAGCTGAATTTGCCAATTGCAGTGGTAGTTTCGTTTCTTTCATGCACACATTTTCTAATGGGTCTATACAAACCCCTCAATTATAAAATACCATGTTCTCGCTGTCAAAAATACATATTAACTTTATGCTTTCATTTAGTGGCTGGAATGTTGCAAGTATCAACGGATGAACTGGCATCTGCTTTAACAACTGATATCCAATATTTTAAGGGTAAGTTTCTCTGTACTTTGCCTTTCACCTCTGTGAAAATCTTTACACTGTTGAGAGCCCATTCTGATGAGCTGGTCACCTTTTTTAGCTAGTGACTCATTTTAGACAAATAAAGTCATCAATCCAAGAGGATTTATTCAGTTAGAACATTGGATGCGTTTGTGTATGTGGTGCCAGGCTGTCCCCTTCTGTGAAGAGCATCCTTTTCCCGCTTCCTCGTCAGTCAGGATAAGAGCTGCCATTTATTGGGCACTTACGAACTGAAGGGCATTGTGGCAGGTGCTATAAATGTTGGAATTTTTAGTTCTTTCAAATTGCTAAGGGGTGGGCTTAACTATTTCCATTTTAATGAATGAGAAAACTGAGATTCAAAGAGGCTAGATAACTTTGGGCATGAAATCACCACTAAATGGCATGCTTGGAATCAGCCTCTAATGCCATCTGACTCCCGAGATGAATCTCTGCGCTGTAGGATCTCCACTCAGTGGCAAGAGAGTGCCTTTCCTAAATGCTCTTCACTTATCCACTACAAATCATTGCCTTACCAAGCTGCCTCTTTATTGTAATTTTGAGGACTCACCGTCCATCTGATATTGTTTTTTTCTCAAAATCACTGCTATTCTTACCTTCTTTTCTCAATGGCCCAACTTGCGGATACTTCGGCATGTGGCTTGTAAATTCTGCCTCATGCCTAGAGTTCCCTTTCCATGTTCCCAAGCTTTATGGATCTCCCATTATCCACTGAGTTGCCCAAAAGCCATTCCTGTTACTTCGTCCTCCTCCTTCTCTACTGAGTAGATCAGCCACAAGTCAGTTCTACCCCATAAATACTTCCCACTCTCACTCTCGTCCCTTCACTTTCATCCCCACTCCCTTAAACTGTCTTTCTTAGATGATGCCAAGAGAATCTGATGAGTGTTTCACCTGTGGCCTTATCTCACTTTACCTTCCTTCCACATTGCTTCAGGAATAAGCTTTCTGAAATGCAAATATGATTTTCATCCATGGATAACAGCCTTGAAAGGAAACTCCAACTCCTTTAGAGTAAATATCATCCCTTTTGGAGGTCCTGAGAGGCCCTTTGTTATTGGGGCCATACCTCACTTTTATGCTTCATCCTCAGCCATTTTCCCACCAGTGACCTTGCGTCAAGAAATACACTTTCTTGAAGTTCTCCAGAGGCATTATTCTTCCTCATGGCTTTTTTTTTTTTTTTTTTACTGAAGCAGAGTTGGTTTACACTGTTGTGTTAATTTCTGCTGTACAACAAAGTGATTCAGTTATACCTATATATATATATATATATATATATATATATATATATACAATACAACAATAAACTCTTTGTATCGCTTTTTATTCATTCGTTTATTCATTCGTTCATCATTTGCTGAAGACCCACTTAAAAAAAATTCTTAATTGAAGTATAATTGATTCACAGTGTTGTGTTAGTTTCTGCTGTACCGCAAAGTGATTTCGTTATACATATACATGCATTCTTCTTTATATAGTCTTTTCCTGTGGTTTATCCCAGGACACTGAATAGAGTTCCCTGTGCTCTACACTAGGACCTCGTTGTTTATCCATCCTATACGTAATAATTTGCATCTGCTATAACCCCAAATTCCCAACCCATCCCTCTCCCAGCCCCCTCATGACTTTTTAAAGAAACATTGAACTCCCCATTAATATCTGTAATTTAATATATCCAGGCCTCCCTCCTTAACTCCCCAGCCATGTGGGTGAGAACCCCACCGTCACGTTGGCTCTAGAGACCTCCATCCTATAACATCACAAGTGACACCTGCTTTCACCTCCACTTCGTGTGGTTCCGTCTCAGCGGCATTGAACTCATGGCCGCTTGACTCTTCACCACCTGCTGGTGCTTTTTTGTTTGTTCGTTTGTTTGATCTCAGCTTGCCGCAGAGGCGGTTCTCCTTTACCTGTGCCTCTGTTGATTGACAGCTCACTAAGCCCTCATTTCCCATGGTCAGCATCCTATTACCGGACTCCCTGGGGGTTGAGTTGCAGTGGTACCCAGGTTGGCCGAAGCCATAGAATGTGGACTAGATTCTCACTCCCTCTCAACTCTCCAGCATAAGTGCTGGCCTAGCCTCAATCCCAAATCAGCTTTACTTATCTTTTTCTTGGTTTCTTCTCTAGTCTATTCACCACTCAAAAGGTTATCACTCAAGATTTCAATCACCAGCTCTTTGAGAATAACATAGAAATTTCTACCTTAAGGCCCAATCTTCCTCCTAACCTCCTGACACCCCCACTTTGGTTAGCAGGATCACTTCTTTGAAAATATTGAAAATATAACTAATTTTCCAGATGCCTTGAAGAGGACTCCTTATCCAATGCAGTGAGCCGTTATCAGAAAGATTGTTAAGAGGGCCCTGCAAAGAGTCGGTTCCCTCACTGAAGGGAGATGATGCAGCCTGCCTGGAGGTCAAAAGCTGTGGTCAGCATTTGCAGCAAATAAGATCGAAGTGTGCACGGCACTCACTTTAGAGAAATGTGTTTTTGTAATCATCGGCAGAGGCTTTGTTTATTAGAGTCATAATATGTTTTTTTAACATCTTCTGCTGTACGTGGATGTGGAGGGATAAATAGGAGGACACAGCTTGGTGGCTTCTGAACAAGGGAAAGTCTTGTGCTTATGCCTCCTCCCCTTCCTGCTCTCCCAGGAGAGATGATCACACGGCGACACACCGTAGAGATGGCTGAATTTTACCGGGACCTCCTGGCCAAGTCCCTGTACAGTCGTCTGTTCAGCTTTTTGGTGAATACGGTGAATTGTTACCTTCACAGTCAAGAGGAGCCCAGCAGGTAGGTGTGATGGACGCTGGTGATTACGGTGATTCCCACAATAGCGACTTAACTAGGCTCGCTCTTAAAGATGCGTCATAATCCAGTGTCACCCATAGGTTAAGCTGTCATTAAAACGTTTCATTTTAGCGTGATGATTTTACTTCAAGGATTTGACTGACTAATTTTAAGGGATGCAAGCCCCCTCTGCCCATACGCACAGCCCTGGATAAATTAATCAAATCATCCCTCGTGCATAGAGACGCAAATGCATTCTCTCTGGACTGAAGGCATCTATGGCCTTTTAATCACCAAGAAGTATAAAAAATGTATAAATCTGGGAAGAAGACAGTTCAAGAATATCTAAAGCACTTCAGTCCGTTGAGAAGCCCATGTCTCTCTAGAAACAATTTGATGATGTGTTTCAGCTTGGCAATTCCTCCTGTTTTCTTCACTTGTTTTGTGGATTATTTGATGAAGCATCTCTATGGTAACCATCTTGACTCCTGGCCTTAGTCATCTTTAAGGAGTAGTGTTTCAGGGCTGTTTGATCATCTAAAAATGATAGATCTTCTTGGCATCTTGTCAGTGGAAAACTTTGTTAGTATTCTTGTCTCCAATAATGACCTTGGGCAGGGCAGGCCATTGGGAGCAAAACTGCATCCAGGAGTCTTTACACGTATGCTGGTCTTTGAATGAAACCTCTTGAGGATTTCTTTGTGTCCATACAGACGTCACCAAATTCCCGAAAACGGCTCCTTTTAGAGGTTACTTGGAAAACATTAGGACTAATATGTATTAATGGGAAGGTTCTTAAATAAATACAGATATCTCAGAAGATTTCAAGGACAGAGGTGTACTAAATTCTCACTAAAATATACACATAAAAAATCCACTGCACATTGATCAACATGTTCAATATATAGTCTGTGACTTGAGGGTCGCTATAGCGTTACCTGTGTTTTAGCAGATATACACTGATATTGGATGTGGTGAGGATTCTGGGTTTTATTATTTCTTACTGTCAATTTGTGATTTCCCTTTAAATATGAAGACTATTCACAGAACAGTACTAGTAGGCTAAGACTACCAAATTAATCTTGTATAAAATCACTGGCAGCTCTGCTGAAGTTGACGTTGAAAAAATTAACAAATAAATCCAGCTGCACATAAAAACTTTTAGAAAATTTCCATTTGACATTTAAATCTTACAGAGCCTTAAACTATATGAATGAAAAATCTTATACAGAGTCAAGACTTTTGACTGCACACAGAGAAAATGAAAACATAAACCTTGGAAAACACATTACTTCCCTTCCAGTGGGAATATTGTGTCAATGTGCAAATGTATGATATGAGTCTTGTCTTTATGATTCTCTACTAAGCAAATGAATAAGGACAAGGATTATTGGAAAATCAGAGGTGAATTAATGTATCGTAAGTTTAACTTCTAAAAGACAGTTTTCTCATTTGAGTCACAACTCCCATGTTTTCTTCTCTATTTCTCCCATGGGTAACCCAAACCTGAATTTAAATCCAAAAATAATGCAAAGAAAGGTTATGTTTGCAGTATTTCTAATTCACGGAAATTCACGCAAAGCTTAAAGATTTGCAGATGTACGGACCCATTTCCTAAGTCACAGAGAAGTCTCAAAATTTGGGTAAACTTAGAATAGGCTTTTATTGTTTATGAATCCCCAATTTCTTTTGGAAATTTTATAATTGTGTTAGAAAGGATTATATTAAAAAATATATATGTTCCTGTGGTTACAGGCACGCTTGATGTTGGTCGGAAGTATTTTTCACACTATGTAATTTTTGTAAAATTTGCAAGAGAGAATAAATATAAATAGGATATACTCTAACAAGGTATAAAGGGAAGACAAGTGAAATTTAAGCAGATGACATGTTTGTTCTTAGAATGCTGGGTTCATTTTCTGGATTATAGCAAAATAGGTACAATGTAAACAATGTTACACATTTAAAAAAATTCGACTTCTTCTAGCTGGTTTCCAAACAGGTTTATCGTCCTTGTGATCGTGAGATGAGACAGAGATTCTTACTGAGGTGTAGCGAATAATAATAACTTGAAAATGTTCAAATGATAAATAATTTTTGCATCTCCTAAAATAGGACCTGTTTCACAATTGCTGCACTTCCATTCCCAGGATTGAATTATCAGTGTTAAATCTGAAATTATTCTTTTTCCTGAATCGAGATCTTCAGTAGATTTTTGGTGTAAACTTGCCTATTTCAGAGGCACCTGTAAGTTAAGAGAGTCTTGGACAGGCAGAGGGGTTGTGGAAACTTCGGGAGACGTCTCCAAATGTCTTCAGACACAGAAACCTACAGTTTATTTTAACTCATTTTCATCATGAGTTCTGACTGCAATGGTTTATATATACGGGGACACCTGAGAAATATAACCTATGGAACAATCCCCTTTTTATCATAGAAGCACCCTAACAATAAGTAGACTGAAGGTTATAAATAGATGAAGTTTAGGAGGTAACTCGCTAGAGGGGTATTGGAGATATACTTTATTTATTCATTCATTGATGGCTGCATGATCTGAAATCCACATTTTTGGAGAGCACAATTTGGCATGCAAATATAATACAGTAAATAAACTGAGTTTCAGGCATACACATGGAGATTTTTTTTGTTTGTCACTGAGCCTTCGGGTCTTACATATGCTTATACTATATTACATTCTTTTGATATTTTAGTTGAGCTAAACATAAACATGTTAGTAATTTATGATTAATTACATTCCGCTTCAATGAATCATAGAAACTTTGGGAGAGTTCTCCAGCTGTCTTCAGATACCGAACCCTACGATTAATTTCAACTCATTTTTATCCTGAGTTCTCCTGTGTCCAAGCCTGTTCCTTTGGACGGCACCTGATTGCAAGAACTTTGGTTGGTTTCCAGGACTATCTGAGGATAAAAGAGGTCACACAAGGCTGTCCGCACAGTGCCTGACACAACCAGAGTGGTTTTGCTACGGTAAAATCTTCGTGGTCATGTCTGGAAAGAAGGCGTCTCAGTTTATGGCCACTTATTGTGGAGAAATGAGGACTGAGAAAAAATGCAGAAGGAGGCCATGGTAGAAACCCTAGATACAGTCCAGTCTCTTGGTTTTCTGTTGCTTCGGTAATCTCGGTTGTTTGGAGAATAGCAGATAAAGGAAATAATTTGTTCTTTAAGAATACAAATGCCACTACTCATGTACACTGCTGGGTAATTTTGTTTTAAAATTCACATATCAATGCAGTGATTTAATTCCTGAAATCATCAGTCGGATATTTTTGGCATCTTATCCTGTTTCTAAATTCACATGGTTTAATTATAAGAAAATGATTTTGTAAGTCAGTATGGAATGTCCTAGGCATCCAGAAAGATTTCCATCAGCTTATTGCCACGTGGCGCGGGTGTTCCACAGCAGTCTGGCTGAGTCATCGTAAAGGATGGAGATGTTAATAGTGGAGCCTGATGTCTCACAACTGACAACTCACTCTCTGAAATGAGACAAAAGTGCATGTGCAGTAGGATGTGAATTTAAGGTCCTATCGGGGTGTCAGGCAAGCACGGTCCTCTCCAGCATCTGACAGCATCCGATGCATCAAAATGCATGTAGCGAATCTACACTAATAAGATCGGAACAATCAATTTCATATTCATATTCAGAAAAATGGCACTTCTTAATAGGTGAGACTTGCTATTCGCTCTTAATTAGAGGCAACAAATGTTTCATATGGGGAAAAAGGAAGGATAGCCTTGAAGAATCTGAAGGCTGGTTTAATCTGTTGGGTAGTCTGTATCTGGTCTAAATACTGCCTTCCTGAATGGCAGAGAAGGCTGATCTCTACCTTGATGCTCTGAAATGAATGTAAGGTGAATTAGCCGGGTTAAGGGGATTTACGGCTTAAGTTTTCATTTGGGAATTCTCCTTAGTTTTGTTCTACTGAGAATTCAGTTTGTACACTATTAGTTATGAATAGTTAGTGGTGTGTATGCACGTTTGTTGAATTTCCAAGGATTTTAAACAGAAGAGAGTGTTTTGCTGTATATTATATTGAAATGATATCTAAGTTTCTTATGATTTCCATTTGTTTCTCATTGATGCAATCAGGTAGCACTTAATGTACTTACGGAATGTTATAATGTATTTGGACCTTTTTTTTAGGTCGAAGTCCAATTTGAGAATCTGATGAATGGCATAAACTCACACACAGTTTTCCATACAATTTGGGGGACTTATAGACTCTCCCCTCAAAGAAATAAATGTTCCTGGACTGTATTAACTTCTCAATTTTTTGATTAAACAAGTTAATAAATTCTGAAATAATACCGCCAATGTGGTTCATAGTCCCCTGGTAGTTCTTGAGGATTTTTAAGTCAAATTATTTTTTTGTAATTACTTTGTTGTTGACCTTTTCTTAAATAGAAAATTATCTTTTTAATTTTAGATAAAATCTGTGATTTTTAAAAACCTACAGAGATACCACCTGATAGACGAGTAACGTAATTTTTACTACACTAATATAACAGTAAGAATGTTAATCTTTTTTTTTTTTTTTTTTTTTTTTTGTGGTACGCGGGCCTCTCACTGCTGTGGCCTCTCCCGTTGTGGAGCACAGGCTCCGGACGCGCAGTCCCGTTGCCGGACGCGCAAGCTCAGCGGCCACGGCTCACGGGCCTAGCCGCTACGCGGCATGTGGGATCCTCCCAGACCGGGGCACGAACCCGTATCCCCTGCATCGGCAGGCGGACTCTCAACCACTGCGCCACCAGGGAGGCCCAGAATGTTAATCTTTTTAAGATTATTTTCAGCGGATTAGATTTGCAGCTCTAACTGAGAATTTGTCAAGGATCTCATCCATTAGAGACAGGAAGTCAGTATCTTAGTCTGTGAAGCTCTAGGGGCCTGAAGATGGAGCATCGTCCTCTGCACTGCAGGCAAACCATCAAAGGTATCTGCTGGATTATGGTTTATACCTACACCGTTTGCATAGATC